TTTTTCTAGAATAGAATGGAGTGGAATGGGATGAAATAACAGAGTTGGAGGGTCCTTGGAGGTCTTCTCATCCAGCGGTTGCCAACTGGTGGGCCGTGAGAAAATTTTGGTGGGCCGCAGAGAAAATCTCAGAACACCCAGAACGCCCCCCCAAAAGCAATTAATCTAGGCTGTGCAGAAACACAAGGCTGTGCCACCCACATGGCCTGTGGGAACCCTCCCCGCCCACTCACTCCTTACCCAGCAAACTTGTCTGCTAAGTTGCTATTTTTCCTTTTTCCAACCATCAGCTGTTCTGCTGTGTCGAGAGATTTAGATTAGCTAGGAAGCAGGAAATGGTTGGATTTCTTGCTTTCTAGCTAGCCTTTAGATCTTCGGCTCTGCTTTTAAGCACAGCCGAACCACCCTTAGAACTGAAGGTTCTATTATTCGGTGCAGACTCACGGCAAGCAAATTTTATGTGACAGACTGAGCTAGCCGATGGCAGATAGATAGATCATTGAATGATTCTGTGAGCAACTCAATCTGCCTGATTGCTTTGCCTGCTTTGGGGTAAAAGTTGCTCTTTTTTAAATAAAAAATCCAATATTTACATACATGGTTTGTTGTGAGTTAATTTTATGAGTTTGCTTGCAAGCAAATTTTATGTGACAGTCTGAGCTAGCCGATGGCAGATAGATAGATTTCTGAATGAATCTGTGATTCTGTGAGCAACTCAATCTGCCTGTCTGCTTTGCCTGATTTTGAGTAAAAGTTGCTCTTTTTAAATAAATATTTATAATATTTACATACAAGCCATCCCCAGCCAGTCACATGACCACCAAGCCACACCCACAAATTAGGCTACACCCACAGAACTGGTCAGTGGTCCCTGGGATTTAAAATTATGAGTTTAGTGTCCCCTGAGGTCCAAAAGTTTGGTGACCCTTGTTCTAGTCCAACCCCCTGCTTAGACAAGAAACATCCATTTCAGACAAATAGTTATCCAATCTCAGATCTGGTAGAGTAGCACAAAGATGCTTTTCAGGACTAAACCGTAAGTGATGTTTTTAGTTGTGGCTTTGCATGTTTGTTTACTTTAGCCTCCTGAGCGTAGTGGTTTTCAGAAGATTTCCTGTGGCTTTTGTAACACCTTTCTACAAATATTGGCAAGCCTCTGCTACCATGTATGAGTAGTATTGAAACTCGTTTTCTCCAAGGGATTACTGGACTGTGCTTGAGTTATTTATTGACAGTGATGTGGAACCTAATGGCTTTTTAAACCCAATTTGTGCATCGTTGAAATTTCCCCTGAAAAGGAAGTTCTGATTAAATTTATTGGTGAGTGACACTCAAAACTCTCAGCATTGATCTTGACTGCATTTGGGACTTCCTGCACCAAAAAATCCGGAGTTTTCCATAGTGTGTGGGGTGGGGAAAATTTGTGTAAAAAAAGGTAAGACTTGACAGGGTGATCGAAACCATCATCCTCCCCTGCGGACAGCTTCAGAAAATTCAAGCAGGCCATATGCTGTTGGTCATGCTATGCCTGCCAGCCTTGCAAGGGAGCCCAAACAAGAAGCACCCTGCAAAAATATTAGGTATAACCTTATTGCAAAGTGACACTAACAGTTTTTCAGGTATGAAAGTGCAACACTTCCTCTCTCACCATTTTAGCCCAACAGATTAGGCCTTGTCATGGCCCTGGTGGAGCCTGACTCTGAGTCAGAGGAGGAACAGCCGAAGTGTGGCTCCAGAGGTTGTGGAGGAGGCTGGGGAAGGGCAGAGGTCAGATGGGCAATCAGAGGAGGACCCAGGTCCGTCCCCTCTCCATCCTAGGGCACGCAGGGAGGAGAGGATAAGAGAGAGAAGTGGTCAACTCGGTAGGAGAGGGCTTTGATCTTCTTCATGGGCTGCAACTGTGACAACTGAGGACGGACATGCGTATGGGCGAGCGCTGGAAACAAAGCATGGAAATATCTCTAGTTTGTGGTTCCTCTCTGAGTTTGGCGTCCTTCCCAGTTTGTGTTCTGTTATCTGTGGACATCCTCCAGCCCTTATGTTGCCTGGTTTGTGTTGTTTTTCTCCCTTCTTCTAACTGCTTGTTAGATGGGAGTTTTTTGTCTTCCGTTAAGGATATTTGGAGCTTGGATCAAAGTGAAGGAATAAAGGGGGCTTCACCAGGTTTTTGTGACTGTGTTTGTTTTGTATCCCCACCCTGGGTCATCACAGGCCCATTCTTTCTGCAGGCTCAGCTGCCTCTTACCTGTCTGTTGTCTAGTTCTACAGCTTCTCCTCCTGTCTCCTCCCAAGGTCCCATGGCAATGTTAAATTAGGATAATGTAAAGCATTTTCTCCAACCCGGCACTCCAACCCAGGTGTGTGGGCCTTCAGTTCCTACATTCATAATATAGTTTTGAGGTCACTCCAAGACTCTGGGTGTCGTACTTGAGCAAAGCGATACTCATGAATGAAGGCAAATATATGTGTCCTAGGATAATGTTTCAGGGTCCAATCTGGGTCAGGTATTGGGACCAGGGGTTTACTCTTCTGAGCTTCTGGACTCATGCTGGAGCCCATCTTCTTGGAATTTCTCTCTCCAACCCAAAGGTGCTTTTTCATGAGGCAGATGGACTTTCTTGTTTTTCTTTGAAGACCTTTCGCTTCTCATCCAAGGAGCTTCTTCAAGCTCTGACTGGATGGTGAAGAACAGTTCCCAGAAAGCTCCACACCCATTTGCACCACTCAGGTGATGACACAGGTGAACCTCCAGGTGGCCTCAATAACTCTCTAAAAAAGAATGCAAATGTGACTGCAAGGCATTCTGCAATAGCTGTCTGCAAGGCATTTGAATCCTTCTATTCCTCACTATCCTGTCAGAGCTGAAGAAGCTTCTTGGATGAGAAGCGAAATGGCTTCAAAGAAAAAACAGAAAGTCCAGTTGCCTCTTGAAAAAGCACCTTTGGGATAACCATGACCTGGATGACTGATATAAAGTAATAGGTCATAGTTCATAAATCATAGCTACAACCATTAATCCTAGGTTACAAGTTCTGTTAAAGATGGCATCACTATGGCAGCCTCGATGAAATGCTCTCTACTACCAAGAAGACCACCTTCTAGTCTACTTCCTTGACTTCCACGGGGAGGTAATTTCAGAATAGATCTGATGATGATGAAAACCTGGCCAGGTGGCACCCCTTAACGGCAGTCCTTCTACTGCAACCTTTCTGCAGATTTTCCTCATTTCAGTATTATACAGATTAAGGAAACCTGCTTGGCATGGATCTCCATCGCTCTTAGATTCTTTACCAGCAAGCTAGTTGAACAAGTTCGCCAGAGTGAAAGTTTGGTGTAGCGATTAAGATGTTGGCTTGAGAAACCAAGAGATGGCGAGTTCTAATCCTACCCAAGGCATGAAAAACTGGCTGGGTGACCTTGGGCTAGTCACTGTTTTTTAACCTAAATCCTCACAGGGTTGTTGTTCTGTGGAAAATAGGAGGACGAAGGAGGGTTAGGTATCTTCTCATCCTTGAGCTGTACAGGTAGTCCTCAACTTATGACCACAGTGGGGTCCAACATTTGTTTCCTTAAGTGAGACATTTGTTAAATGAGTTTCGCCTCATTTGACTACCTTTCTTGCCATAGCCGTTAAGCGAGTCTCTGCAGCTGATAAGATAGCAACGTGATTGCTAAGTGAATCTTGCTTCCCCATGGACTTTGCTCATCAGAAGGTCGCAAAAGGGGAATCACGTGACCCCTGGACATAGCAGCCGTCATAAATGTGAACCAGTTGCCAAGGGTCTCAATTTTGATCACGTGACCAATGGGAAGCTGCAAAAATCGTAACCGTGAAAAACGGTCGTTGTAACTTTGAACGGTTGTAAGTCGAAGACTACCTGTGTATGGGAGGGGGCGGGGGAATGGCAAGATAAAAATCTGAAGAAAAAAACCCCAAATTCTGTGACTTATTGTAATGCATTGTGAAAAAGGTAGTAACCGGTGGCTTGTCCTTTGCCAGGCCCTCCTTGGCATCATTTGCTGCCTTGAGAGCTCTTCTTTCATTTCTTTTTCTACACTTTACGGCCCTGATGAGGCAATAAGAAAATAAAAACAGCAGTGTAAAAATTAAGCTAGTTTGGCACAGTGATTGAAGCAGGGCTCTTCCACACTTGGCAACTGTTAAGACTTAGGGCCGTGATGGCAAACCTATGGCACTCCTGCCACAGGTGGCACACAGAGCCATCTCTGCAGGCAGGTGAGCTGCCGCCCCAGTTCAGCTCCACCACGCATGCGCGCGCGCCTCCCGCTGGCTAGCTGATTTTCGGGTCACTGTCATGCATGCGTGGAAAGCAAGGTGCATGCAGGAGATGCATATGCTTGCGCAAGGGTGGGGGGGTCACATGCATGGGGGCAAGGGGAGTGCACGGGGGCAGCATGCCGCCCATGCTCCCCGTTTTGGGCCTAGTAGGCCTCCCTCCTGGGAGAAAAAACAGGCCGCAGTGGGGCCCCTACTAGGGCCTGTTTTTGCTCCCAGGAGGCTGCAGGGAGGCCTACTAGGCCCAAAAGGGAGGAGGTTGTGTGCACATGCGCAGGGGGGTGGGGCAAGTGGGAAGGGGGGAATCACATGCACATTGAATTATGGGCACACACAAGCGCTGTTGCGCGTGTCAAAAGTGTGCGCAACCACAAAAAGGTTAGCCATCACTGACTTGGGGATTTCAACTCCCAGAATCCCTCAGTTAGGTAAATGGTGAGTCTGATACCAGTGCCTAACTTCCTTGCTTCGCATGGCATCTGAAGGGTCAAGCCAGAATTGTGCTTGTTTTTATCCAGAACTGGAATGAAATCCTCTTTCATGCCAAAATCCAGCCCTCTAAGCCAATTAACAGATGTGTCAGCTTTTCAGCACCATTATTAATGAATTCTATCATTAAGAAGTTGTAGCCCTTCATAATTTTCTGTAAGATGGACAAGATCTTGCGCTACCTCCATTAATTTAATTTCTTCTTTGCTTGAAGTGCCAACCACAAAAATCTTGGCTACCGGCGGGGCGTCGCACAACAAGGCAATCTTACAAGTAAGTAAATGGTGCTTTTTTTTTTTTTGGCCATACTTGAGATCAGCATCCAGTGTGCCATTTTAGCCAGCTGGTGAACTCTTGAGTCAAAAATCACAACCAGGGAACCAAGGTTTTTGAGTGGGCAGAGCTTTAGGAGGAATTAGCCAGCAGTTAAATTTGCGTGGGAGATGTTTACATGACCATTTGTATGGAAGGACATTTGGGATTTACCGTCCTGGTCATCTGTACATCTCCTAGGTAAAGAACTCATCTGGAGCTAAGCCCAAATTGGTCTGGAAAACTGCCATGGAAACTTCCAGTCAAATTAGATCCTGTGGAGCACAGTCTGCTATTCAGCACCTATTATGTGTAAATATTAGAGATTGGGTGGATTGTGCAAGACATGATAGCTGTCTTCCAGGACTTGAGGGGCTGTCACACTTATTCTATAGGGCGCTAGAGGGCCGGAAAAAGAAGGGAAGGGTGGAAGATTCTAGGGACCCAACCTAAAAGTAAGAAATTAATTTTCATGAATTTTACTTCTTATCTGTGTGTAGTGCCAAGTTGGCAGAGTAGTTAATTAGTGGAACAACAGTTGCTTCCCTGGATTGTGAGTGCTCCATCACTGAAGGTTTTCAAGAATAGACTGGACAACCATTTGACCGAGACAATATAAGCCTTGAGAAGGGGATTGGAGTAGAAGACCTCTGAGGTGCCCTCCAACCCTTCAATTCTATGCTTTGTGCAGCGTTGATCTCTGATTTGGGAATTTTAGAATCCATGAGAATGCCAATATAATATAGGTAGCTGGATACCCGTGCTTTGCTATGAAACTATGTGGTTGGGTTTAGTTTTTGGGGAGGAAAATAAGGGAAACAAATTGTGCCTCTGCCTATCAGCATCTATCAGTAGTCATCTGGCTAGCATCCTGTCACTGAAAGAGTATTTGCTCTGTGAGCAAGAAGGAGACAGCAAGGAGCCTGGGCGTGGACTTAGCTCAACTGTTTAGTACTAAAGCTGGTTGCAGCTGTGAAACTGAAACCGAAACTCCTCTCCTCTGCTTGTGTTTTGCATTTGGAACAGATTTCTTTTCAGGTGGGAAAGGGGAGTAGAACTCCTTAGCATTAGAGCGTGTTAATAATAATTTAGGAAATATTAATGCTCTGATGGTCACTTTGAAAAATCCTTTGTTAGCGAGCACCTAGAAACCAAGAGGAACATGCATGCCAAATTTCAAGTTTGGAGGCTTTACGGTTCTGGAGATTTTGTGATGATGTGGGAGTGATATTTTGCTTTTATATATATAGACAGATTATTTGCAACACTCTGACTGTATGTCCGCTGCACAGAGTCCTTTACAACTTAAGAAGAGACTTGAAAGCAGATAGTTTTAAAAAAAGAGGAGGCTCTTCCTAAACCAATCTTCTCGGCCACAGTTCCTCTTCTCGGTGTTGATGAAGTCCAGCTCATTCCCATTTGGAAATAGGCCTTTGGCTTAAGGTTATCAGCTGACACATCATTGAACTGTGACATGACACCGAGAAGAAGAGGTCATGTCAATCTGTAGCCAGAAAACCACAGAAGTCCACATCTTTAGGTTCCTAGAAAAGGCAAATTTCAGCAGAGGCTTTTCAAAGTCAAACAACTGGGAACAGTCAATAAGCCACAACTTTATTGGAACATTTTGCTATTGTCTGGGTGTTACTACCATTGTTGTATTACAGTTGCAAGTATCTAAGGTTGTGTCACGTTAGCCTCCTTGTATCCATGTTAAGGGACGCGGTGGTTCAGCGGTTGCTGAGCTTGTCGATCAGAAAGGTCGGCAGTTCGGTGATTTGAATCCCTAAGCATCGCGTAACGGGGGAGCTCCCGTTACTTGTCCCAGCTCCTGCCAACCTAGCAGTTCAAAAGCATTTTGTAAACATGGAAGTAGAAAAATAGGGACCACTTTGGTGGGGAGGTAACAGTGTTCCATGCGCCTTATTGGCATTTAGTCATGCCGGCCACATGACCACGGAGACGTCTTTGGACAGCGCTGGCTCTTCGACTTCGTAACAGAGCTGAGCACTGCCCCCTAGAGCCAGAAATGAAAGGTACGAGGGAACCTTTACCTTATCCATGTTAACAAAAAACAGGTAATCCTCCACTTGCAACCAGAATTTCTTTTGCTAAGCAAGGTGGTTGTTAAGTGATTTTGCAACTTTTTTGCCATGCTTGTTAAGTGAATCATTGTAGTCCTTAAATGAATCTGGCTTTCCCCCTTTGACTTGCTTGCCTGGCCAGGTCACAAATGGCGATTCTGCAATTGTTGTAAATGCATACTGGTTGCCCATCCTGAATTTCAATCCCATGACAGTGGGGATGCTGCAGTGGTCATAAATGTGAGGACCAGTTGTAAGTCACTTTTTTCCAGTGCCATTGTAATTTTGAATGGTCACTAAATAAGTGGTTGTTAAGTCAAAGGATACCTGCACCATATTTGCAGGATTATAAAAAAAAAAAAAGATCCAATTGGAGACACATTCTATTATCTAGCACAACTAAAATAATAGTCCTTGCAGAAACGATCTGTTGAGAATATAATTTCCTAGGAAATTCATTTTAGGGTTGTTGGAAGAGAAAGAACTCCAAAGGATACATTGTGGCCAAGTCAGCAATCTAATTAATTTTGCCTGATTACCAGATACCAAGCTCCAAACAATGCTCACTTTTTAAAAAAATATTTAAAAATTCTTGCATTTTTTCCAGTGAATGTTTTAAGTGAGATTGAAACAGTTCTAACGCAGTCCTATGGCCTGCTTGTCTTTTGCTGTCCATAATTTGCAAGCATCTGCTAGCTCTTAGTTTCTCTCTGGCCATGCTAATGGGGAGCTAAGAAATCCAAAGACTAGTATTTCCCAGGGACAAAAAGTTGGATAGGGATTTATTTATTTTTTTCAAGAATGGGTAAAGACAAATAAGATTTTTGTGCGTAAAATACCATATAAATTCATCTCGGTCCTCCCTCCTTAACCCTGTGTCCTGATAACAGTCCTCATAACTCCTGGATTTAATTTAGTGCTTTGTTTTCCCAGATATTATTTGCACATTCCAGAATTGGAAGGGAAATATTCTTTCGTTGTAGGCTTAATGTGAAAGTAGCCCAGATTTTGGCTATTGGGGTTCTTCCCAAATCATGAGGCATCTCGGACAAGAGAAATATGATTTCCAGCAGACTGCTCGGTTTAATAAGTGCAATATTTCTTTAGATCTGGCTTTTGATTAAAAACTCAGTTGCCCATTAGTTTGCAAGCTGCAAAACAAAAGGCAGACAGTATTGGATAACTTTAAAATTCCACTCCAGTTCTTGTTTTAAGTTGATTTTTTGGCTCATGTTGAATTGTTGCCAAATAAAGCATCCTCATGTATTTTCCCATAAAACTGGACTTATTTGATAGGATTTTAAAAATCCATAATCTATGTAGGCATTAGATTTATATCCCACCTTTTTTTTCCAAGGAGTTAGGCATGCTCATATGAAAGTTTCCCTTCATTTTGTCCCAACCACAAAGACCCCTGAAGTAGGCTGAGAAAGAGTAGCTGGCCTATAGTCACTTTGTGGAGGTAGACCAGGAAATAGTCGCTACAACATTAGACGAATTTATGTTATTGTTGCACGGTGTAGTAAAAGGAACTTGAAAACCTACAGGAGTTTCTCCCTACTTTGTGTTATACTAAAGAGAAACAAGAAAAGTTTATTTTGAAAAGCTTTTAACTGTTTCTTTTCACTTTCCCAGGCCTGAATAGTCATGTTTTCTCCTATAATGATTCATCCATCCTTTCATCAAAGTTATTTCTATGTTCTTCTACATCTAGGAAGATTCCATGGTTGAGAGGATGGATTTCAACCTAAGTCTCCAGAGCCTTGTCTGCCACCTTTAACCATAACATTAACTATATTACCTATTCCATTTTTCTATTGATCCATCTCTCCATCCGAAAGATGCCTTAAGCTACTTTTTAATTAATTTCCCAATGGTGATTCCCAGCGTGGGTTCTCTTCTGGCTGCAAATCTTGTCTGTTTGTCTTGATAATGGAAGCAAACTGCAGAGTGATTTCGTTTCCTAATCAGATAGTGATAGATCTTTTTTTTTCTTTTCAGATCTTGTCTGATGTCTTCAGTGTTCCAGTGTACACAATCGACACCGCTAATTCAGCCTGTTTAGGCTCTGCTTACAGGGCTATCCATGGTAAATCAACCAGAAAAGACTCTAAACATTGGGCACATGGCCAGTGCAGTCAATCCTCAATTTATGACCATTTGTTTAGCCATTATAACACTTCTAACAGCAGGCAGGCAGGCAGACAGGCAGATAGAGAGATAGATAGAAAGAATAGAATAGAATTCTTTATTGGCCAAGTGTGATTAGACACTCAAGGAATTTGTCTTGGTGCAAATACTCTCAGTATATATGAAAGAAAAGATACATCCGTCAAGAGTCAGGAATCATCAGGTACAACACTTAATAATAGTCATAGGGTACAATAAGTAATCAAATCATACTAGGAAACAGTCAATATAAATCGTAAGGATACAAGTGACAAAGTTGCAGTCATACAGTCACAAGTGGGAGGAGATGAGTGATAAGGAGTGATGAGAAGATTAATAGTGATAGTAGTGCAGACTTTGTAAATAGTTGGACAGTGTTGAGGGAATTATTTGTTTAGCAGAGTGATGCCGTTCGGGAAAAAACTGTCCTTGTGTCTAGTTGTTCTGGTGTGCAATGCTCTATAGCGTCATTTTGAGGGAAGGAGATGAAACAGTTTATGTCCAGGATGTGAGGGGCCTGTAAATATTTTCACAGCCCTCTTTTTGACTCTTTGCAGTATGCTGAAAAAAGAAAGTATACTGAAAAAAGAAAGACTTACAACTAGTCTTCACACTTACAACTATCATAGCGTCTCCATGGTCATATGATCAAAATTTGGGCATTCATTTAAGACAGTTGCAGTGTCCCAGGGTCCCATAACTGCTATTTGCCAACTTCTCAGCCAACTTCTCACCAACAAAGTCAATGAAGCTGGATTAATTTAACAACCATGAGATTCACTTAAGAACCATGGCGATTCATTCATTTAATGATCACAGCAAAAAAAAAAAAAATGGCCATAATATGACTCGTTTAAAAGCCACCTGGCTTAGTGATGGAACTTCCACTCCGAATTGTGCTTGGTAAGTCAAGGACTACTTGCAGAATATACTGAAGGTAGCTGCTCCTTAATGGGAGGCCTCACCTTGATCAGATTCGATCCTCGAGAAAGAATATTTGGGCTTTCATCTTCTTCTCCGGTAGTTTATCTTCACCGGATTTATTTACTTGTTGGTTGGTTTGCTTAAGCTATTTATTTCATTGGTGCATCAGCCCAACTCACAAAAGCAACTCAGAGTGGCTTACAATGGGTCAGAAGCATAAAAATAAAAAGACAGATGATGTCTCTCGACATAATTAGCGTCTCCTCCCCTGCAAATAAAATAATAAAACAATTGAGGCTAGCCATCCCTTATTCCATTCAATATTTTTCATTTTTGGGTTGGGATCTTTTCACAGCAATAGCCCTTAGACTTATATACTTCCCCACAGTGCTTTTCCGCACTCTCTGGGTGCTTTACAATGCCAGCCTCTTGCCTCCAACAATCTGGGTCCTGGTTTTTTGGGGGGACATCTCAAGGATGGAAAACTGAGTCAACCTTGAGCTCTATGAGGATTGAACTCCAGGCTGTGGGCAGAGCTTTCCTGCAATGCTGCGTTCTAACCACTGTGCTACCAGGTGCTCCTGAAAGACTCTCATAGTGTTTCATGGCTAGCATTGATTCCTGGGCCTCGCCTCTCTTAAAAAAAAACACCACCCAGTAAAACCAGCAAGAGAAGTGAGGAGATGAGGCAGAAGACCAGTGAGCTGGGGTTTTTTTCCCTTCCTCTTTCATTGGGCCATCCTGCCTCACTAACCTTCAACCTTGGTCTTCAGGCATCCCAGTTCTATAGTCCAGCTTTTTTCAAATTGCACTCCTGTTGATATGGTCCATAAAGATAGTCCTCGACTTACAACAATTTATCTAGTGACTGTTCAAAGATACAACGGCACTGAAAAAAGTGACTTATGGCCATTTTTTCACACTTACAACCATTGCAGCATCCCATGGTCATGTGATCAAAATTCGGGCGTTTGGCAACTGGTTCATATTTGTGACGGTTGCAGCATCCCGGAGTCAATGGAAAGCCAGATTCACTTAACAGCCATGTTATTAACTTAAAAACTCAAATAATTCACTTAACAGCAGGGTCAAGGAAGGTCCCCAAATGGGGCAAAACTCACTTAACAACCATCTCACTTAGCAACATGCATTTTGGACTCAGTTGTGATCATAGGTTGAGGACTAATTGTATTGCAAAGCAAGAGGAATCAGAGAGGTACGGGTGGTTTATTAACCAGTGAAGTGCCAGTGGAGGAGGGCCCCTTACAGTGAAAAAAAAAATGCTATCCTTCCCCCACATGGCTTATTCTCCTTACTGTTGGCCTTGTGGTTCCATGAATCAATCACTTCTAATCTTCATCCCCGGAAGGGCAGCATGTGTATGAAGGTGGAGGCTGCCCTATTGGGAAAGCTGAGATAACCATAGCTATACAACGATGATGAAGAAGGAAGGACTTTTTTTTAAAAAAAAACACAGGGTCTTATCCATGCATTCTTTATTGCAAGGGGTCTCCAACCTTGGCTACTTTAAGCCTGGTGGACTTCAACACCCAGAATTCCCCAGTCAGCTTTGCTTTGGTGGCTGGGGAATTCTGGGAGTTGAAGCCCGCCAGGCTTAAAGTGGCCAAGGTTGGAGACCCCTGCTTTATTGCATAATGCTTCTTAGAGCTATACAGTTCTGGTCACCAGGCTTATAAAAAGATACTCCTGGTAACTGCTAAAGATAAGTCAACTTTAGTGAGATAGTCCTGGCGTTTTCTTTAACGTCACATAAAACTAATGTATCTTTGTGTTAAGTGTAGGTCCAAGAACAGTTTTGTGGTATTCTAAAAGTCTCCTCAGTTATGATATTATAGACCAGGGGTCTCCAAATCTACCAACTTTAAGACTTGTGGACCAACTCCCAGAATTCCCCAGGGTTAGGGTTCTAGACTTTGGCGAATAAAAACCCACCTTCTCAAAGTATTTTTTTTTTTTTAGACTTGGATGTACCACAAGACAAGTTGTGTGAGTGCGTTTGGATGGGTGCACTAAGAATCCTGGTTTATGGGCTTGTTTCTAATAAAAAAAAAAATTCCCTTTGTGCTCCTCCTTTTTCAAAGAAAACAAAACAAAACCCGCTGCTGGACCTTCAATTTATTCCTCCTCCTTCTCTCGGCTGCCTTATTATCATTCTTAAGTGATCACTGATACTGTTGAACTTGCAACTATGTGGCCAGCTTCACCCTCCGTAGGACAAATTGAATTATTGACCTAGGGGTGATCTCTGAGACCCCCACATGCCTAGATCTGTGCATTTGAAAATAAAATCTTTACTCTTTATCCTTCACTCCTGAAGACTGGCCCGTCTGGGGAAGATCAATGCAACCTATGCATCTGCCAAGCAGTTCAGACAATCCCTCATCTTGTTTCTCTCATTGATCTCCTTGGTAGGACTCGCGGCAGAGGAAGGACTGCCCTTGACCGATGTTGTGAAATCAGCACCGGGCCCCCGATTAGCTGCTACTCCAACTGAAGGCGCAAGTCAGGTGAGGAGAGGGCCGTACTTTTTTTCCTCTCTTAGTCCTATGGCAGTATGGCAAACCTTTTTGTTGTGGCGTTGCCAAAAACGTGCACATGCCGGCACCCACAATGCAATGTGCCCCCCCCCCCCCCCCCGTGTATGTGCATGCAACACCCCCAGCCACCTCCATGCATGCTCCTCCCAGCTGACTTTCGGCCCATTTGAGGCCTTCTTTGGCCTCCCAGAGACTCGAGGGAAGCTTCTGCAGCCTTTGGAGGCCGAAAAATGGGCCCGTTTTTCAGCTTCCAAATACCAGAGGTGATGAAACCGGAAGTACCAGAAGTGATGAAACGGGCCCGTTTTTCAGCCTCCAAATACCAGAGGTGACGAAACTGGAAGTACCGGAAGTGACAAAACGGGCCTGTTTTTTTGGCCACCAAAGGCTGTAGAGGCTTCCTTCGAGCCTGGGACCTCAAAAAGACCTCAGACGGATCGAAAACCATCCGGGAGGTGCACGCATGCACAGTGCAGGTAAGTTTGGCTGGGGCTCACGTGCCTGCACAAAGGGCTCTGCATGCCACCTGTGGCACGCGTGCCATAGTTCGCCATCGCCGTCCTGTGGGCTTTAAAATTTCAATGGTCACACAAAGTAGTCTGTGACTTAACATCTATTCATTTATCCCGTGTGTCAGCAACCTGCGGCTCTTTGGGCCCTCTGCTACGGCTCCTTGTCCCATCCTTGGCTGGCCCTGTCCCTCGCTCTCCCCTCCCCTCTCTTGCCTGGCCTGAGAAGGTAAGAGTAACAGCGAGGGATGGAGAAGCAGCCTGGGCCACTTCTCCAGTGCCTCACTCCATAGACATTTGACCATTCATTTAATGACTGTTTGTAATTACAGAAGCACTAGGGAAAAAAAGACGACTAGTGATCTCTCTTATGACCATGATAATATCCCCACAGACATGTGTTCAAAATTTATTTGTTTGGCAACTGACATGTACTCACGACGGTTGCAGTGTCCCAGGATCATGTGATCGCCAGCTGGCTTCCAACAAATAAAGTCGAGAGGAAAGCCAAATTTTCTTAATGACTGCATGATTCACTTAACAGCTGTGATGAGTCGCTTAACAGCTGTGGCAGGAAAACTCATAACATTGAATACAACTCACTTAATGACTAGTGATGGTTGTTGGCAGTGGTGTGTTTCAAAAAAAATTTTTTCCTACCACGTGCATGTGCAGTGCTCAAACTCTGCCCTCTGAATCAAGGCTGGTGAGCTGTGCAGGCGTGCCTATCGCACGTGCATGCCCAATGTGTGAACCGCGTGCATGCAGGGCTTAGAGGTGGCCCTTCTCTAGTGAGCTGTGCTGTTTTTAGCTCAGCTGAGGCGCAGCAATCCGCTCTGCCCCGCGAATCAGCTGAGCTAATAAACAGCAGAATATAGGAGAGGTGAGAGATGAGAGCAGGGTGGGTGGGTGGAGCCAATCAAAATCTTCCCTACCAGTTCTCTGAACCAGTCAAAATTTTCCCTACCAGTCCACCAGGACCAGTCAGAACTGGCTGAATGCCACCCCTGGTTGTTGGTAATGAAACATCTGCAATAAAACCAAGGACTCTTCATTTAACAACCGCCTTGCTTAGCAGTGGAAATTCTTGTCCCAGTTGTGATCATAAGTCGAGGACTGCCTGAGGAATTTATGATAATTGTTCATTTGTAATGAATTTGGAAGCTCTTGAGTTCCTTTTAAGGAATGGTTGGGATGCCATATCAAATTTGCATGAGAATGGGGAGCTATGAGAAGACAGAAAAAAAAAGTGAGTGCATTGTGGTATATGTGTACATAATATGTATCTTTAGGGTTGAGGCAGGCAATTGGATGCCCTCCAGATGTTTTGGACTATAGGTCCCGCAGTCCCTTGCTGCCAGACAGATTGGATGAGGCATATCTTTAAAACATCTCGGAGCCATCAGACTGCTTAACTTACCTGTATTATAGAGCAGTAGTCCCCAGCCACCAGGCCCCGGACCGCTACCAGTCCGTGGATCATTTTGTACCGGGCCGCCTATTTTGCTTGGGCACCACCATCTTGTTTCGACGGCGCTTGAGCAAGTGCTTCCGGGTGAGCTTGTCGGTCGTTGGTTGCAAAGCGGCATTTGGGGGCTGAAGGAATCCTCGCGCCTTAGTTTCGTCAAAGAGAGTGGGGGGCGGCTTCGAACGAAGAGCTGTCCCGATGGCGGTGGAGTCTTGCGTTACTCAGGAGGAGATTAAGAAAGAGCCCGAAAAGCCCATCGACCGGGAGAAGGTACAAAGGAGGAGTTGAAGGTGGCGGGGAGAAGCAGGGGACGGCTGGCTGGCCGGTCGCTTGGCTCGCCTTGCCTTGGTCGTGCATGCTGATGCTGGTACTGGGCCGTGGATCGGTCCGTGGATTGTACCGGTCCGTGGTACAAAAAAGGTTGGAGACCACTGTTCTAGAGCACTCATTGAAGAAGCTATACATCTGAGCAACTTCCCCACAAATGTATTTCCTGGAGAACCCCAGCCTCATTTTATAATGTATTATGAATGCACTGACCCAGGCTTGCTTCCTGAATTACACACGTGTTGTAGAACTCAAAGTCAATATTGAATTCTTGACTGCCTGCTTGAAGGAGAGATTCGTGCAGGCGGACAATTTATTTTTTGGTCTGTCATTGTGCATCTCAGGGATTCCAGAGCTCTTGGAGAACATAGTTGGGATATCAAATCACACTGGACAAACCCTTGGGGCATCCATATGCCTCTGTCTTCCCTTGTGCTGTGTCTCTGCTTTCCTTGTTGGTGAGATGCCAGTCCTGGTTTTCTTGTGTTATGGAGAAAACAACTTTTGACGCCCCCATGCTGTATCTCCCTAGCCTCCCTTGTTTTCCCGCAGTAGAAATCTGTACAATTTTGCCTGCTGGAAGTTATGGATTCCACCATGAGCATCGCAGTGGCAGAAAGAGAGTTTGCCAATAATCCAGAGTGTTAATATGAAAACTGCCGGGGAAGTTTATAATCTGATGAGTCAGTTTAGTTCTGTTTTTAACAGGCTGCATCTCCTTGTCTATCTGATTTTGTTGTGTTGAGTTTAGCAGCTTTCATTTAAGTGACGGTTCTTTTTATAAACCTGAAAGTCGACCAGAGGTTAAGTGCTGCCTTCGCTGTAAAGTAACTGTGTGAAGTGTTATCTCGATCCAAGCCCCTCCAGTTGGCTTTCAGGGTATACAAAATAGGTGTTTCAGCGAGAGAAAAAAATGCAAACAGACACTTTCATATAAATAACCTTCAAAAGGCAGAATTTACATGGGCTTGTATTTATTTATTTATACACACACACGCACACACACACACACACACACACACACACATACACACACATGTATGTTTTGTCTTCCCTGTAGCTGATTGTGCAGCATCTGGTGACTGGTTTTTTCTTTTTCTTTTTGAATGGGTAGAATTAATTTATGGAAAAGGATTATTTCTCGATGGCATCAAGTTACGCAAACATTATTTCTACAGTCCTTGACATTCAGCAATGTCTGTAGGAGGGCTCCAGATTGGTAAGGTAGCTAATGGTGTGTCAGGGTTTCAGAGTGCAGTTCAAAAGAGAGGCAGTATGGCTTGGGTTTTGATGTTCCCTTCTTCAGCTTACAACATTCATTTAACAACTATCTGAAGGTTCAGTGGCGCAGAAAAAAATTGGCTTACTTAAGTAGTTTAGTTTAGTTTCCCTTATGGTCCTTGCATCTCGTACAACGAAATCAAACACCATCTTTAGTGCACATCATGACTGTGAAAATAAACACAAACACACATCTTTTACATTCTGTACATTGAACTGAAAACCCCTGATATTGCATTAATATTGCACTATTCAGTAGAATTCAATAGAGTTACTGCCCTGGGATAGAAGCTGTTTTTCAGCCTATTTCAGAGATGGTAATTTAGCAAGTTCTGTCCAGTTCTGGAGAACCGGTAGCAGAAATTTTGAGTAGGTCAGAGAAGCAGAAAATACCACCTCTGACTGGAGATTTTACAGTATCCTTCCCCTTGCCATGCCCACCAAGCCACACCGACAGAACTGGTACTAAAAAAATTTGAATCCCACCACTGGCTTATTTGTCCTTGTTTTTATTATTCTGTACCGTCTGCCAGATGGTAATAGTTCAAAAAAAGGCTGGTGCCCAGGATGAGATGGATCTTTGAGAATGTTTTGAACTTTCTTAAGGCAGCGGGAGCTATAAAGCTCTTCCAAAGAGGGGAGAGGGCAACCCATGATCCTCTGAGGGGCAATGATATTAACCCTCTGGAGGGCTGTCCTATCTGCCACTGTGCAATTGGCAAACCATACAGAGGTGCAGTATGTTAAAATGCTCTCTGTGGTGCAGCAGTAGAAGGTCACCAGCAGTTTTCCATTCAGTTGTTGTTTTCTGAGAAGTCTCAGGTAGTATAATCTCTGCTCGGCCCTTTTGACCAGGGCATACAACCGATTCTCGCGCTTACAACTGTTATAGCAGTCATGTCATCAAAATTCAGGCCCTTGAGAAAAATTGTTTGAAGCACTACAGGGTCATGTGATCACCCTTTGTGGTTTTCCTAGCTGGCTTCCAACGAGCAAAGTCAGTAGGAGAATCTGGATTTGATTAACGATTGTATGATTCACTTTATTGCAGTGTTTCGCGTAATGACCATGGGAAAACAAGTGAAAACATTGGGCACAAGCACTTGCTTAGAAACAGAAATTCTTATGAATTTTTATATACCGCTTTATAGTGCTTTACAGCCCTCCCTAAGTGGTTTACAGAACCAGCATATTGTCCCCAACAATCTGGGTCCTCGTTTTACCCACCTCAGAAGGATGGAAGGCTGAGTCTAGTGAGATTCGATCTGACAAATTGCAGGCAGCCGATAGTCAGCAGAAGTGGCCTGCAATACTGCACTCTAACCACTGTGCCACCCAGGCTCTTAACACGGTTCTTAAATGAATCTGACTTCCCTATTGACTTT